AGCTCCATGGTTGTCGAAGTTAAGACAATAGAATGCAGCAAACTTATTTGACTGTTGTTTTCGTCGTTTGTATAACAGCTACATAAGTCGCGTCCGATAAAATGCAATATATAATTTATATATGGGTGGGGGGGGGGGGGCTATAATACTGGGCGTCGAAGTTGGTGGGGGTGATTATATTTTTACTCAGATATTTTGTCCATGATATCTTTTGTTCTGTGATCATTTGTCCGGGATGTTTTGTCCATGGTATCTTTAGTCTTTAGATGTTTTGTCCATGGTATATTTAGATATTTTGTCCATGGAATCTTTTGTCCTGATGTATTGTCCTGAGTTCATTTTTCCAGAGATATTTTATCTAAGATCATTTTTAACTAACAGCAAGTTAAATACGTGGGACGGGAAACATGTGTAATTAAAATACACATGTCATTTTAAGATTAAAACTTTTATTTCGTGTTCATGATTTAATAGTAAGTATTTTAAAAACCTACACTTATTTTATGTACTAAAATCAACTTCTCATTTCGAACTGAAAAATAACAACCTACATTATATTCTGTTATCTTTGTCAACACTCCTTAAAACTCCTTACAGTATATATGTGTGCGAGTTTGAGCGTGTGTTAGTTAATTAAAGAGATAAAGTGAAAGAAAGATAACAGGTGATTCGTCTACTATAAACTTTAACCCGAGTATAAAAGAGCGGACGATACTTCACTTGAACCACACCTCACTCATAATTAACATCAGGTAGGCTTGATTTTTGTAACTTAATTGAACATCGGGTGATTTAGGTCATTAGTTCTTGCAGATATATTTTCTACTTTAATTAAACATCGGGTAATTAGTTCTCACAGTTGAGTTTTCTGTCTTTATTAAATTTCGCGTAAATTAGATAATCAGTTCTTAAAACAAAAGCTTAATTTTCTACTTTAATTAAACATAGGATAAATTAAGTCATTAGCTTTTGAAGATTAATTTTCTACATTAATTAAACATCAGATAATGCAACTTATCCATTCTTAGTACTTAATTTTCAACTATATTCTACCATCAACACATTTAACTAATCTTGTCAAATCATTTTTACAAAACTAAAACTAGTCAAGGAACAACTAAAGGTTATTTGGAACATATCCTTGCAATAGGAGTGTGCTGTTTTACGTTAAACAAGCAATATTTAATAAGCATTTTAAATATATGTGCATCATAAACTTTGTTTTGACTTCGTTTAGCTTTCCCAATAGGGCTGGTAAGTAGGTCACCAACCACTTATATGGCTCAATAAAACCTGCATGAGCCATAGAACTGGTTGGCGACCTGCTTACCAACCCTATTACAAAATAGATTAACATTTAGTAGATATTTCGCCGCGTCGACCAATCGCCAGGTTGACCATTCGCCAAGTTAACCATTCGCGAAGTTGACTATTCGCCAAGGTCACCATTCGTCTTTTTTAACATTCGCCAAGTTGACAATTCACCAACAACTATTCGCCGGAATTACTATCCACTGAGTTGTCAGTTTTCGAATATCTCATGATTGCATACACATTCATCCTCTCGCCTTAGCTATAAATTATAGAACAACGTACCTGATCCGAGTCTATAATACTATATGTTATCTTCCAGACATGAAGTTTTTCATCGCCCTCTGCGCCCTGGTGGCGGCTGTGGCTGCCTTTGACCTGGAGCCCCTGAGTGACGTCCAGATCTTCTACATCAACAACCTGGCCAACACCACCTGGAAGGTGAGCACGGTTATCACGTGACTTCACGTGTTTTTATAGATGCGAGAAAATAGTTTCTGTTGGTGTTTTATTGTTTGACTTCCATTCTTTGACGTCTCTTGCTTGGTTGCTATAGGGCTCTTAAGTAGGTCACAACTTCTCGTTCTCGTACTTGCCAGCTAGTAGACAGAGTTTCTTCCAGGCATCTCTTCGGAAGGGCGAAGCCCCCCCCCCCCCCCCCCGAAAAAATTTTACCGCCCCCCCCCCCCCCTCGAACGAAATGAAATTTATATAATTTATATAGGAAATATATACTTTTAACAGTGTCCGCCCCCCCCCCCCCCCCGAAGAAAGTCTACCGCCCCTCCCCCCTAAAAATTTCAAGTGCCCCCCCCCCCCCCCCCCCGGAGAAAAAAGTCTGGAAGAAACACTGCTAGTAGATTTCGATACTGTAGACTTACAAGCACTATTGCTGACTATTTTCTGACATAAAATAACATCAAAAAGAAAAAAACAAGAAAAAAAAAAGAAAATGACATCTTACTTCTCTCATGCGTGCGTCCATCGTCTCTCAAGGAAAAAGGAGAAAAATGTACACACATATAATGACATCAATTGCTTGATGTACATAGTTTAACGTGCTTTGTGTAACTGTATGACTTCTACTGCCGGTTTTTTTTTTGGGTTTTTTAAAGTAGGCTAGCTCGCAAACCCGACAGTCTTTAGCGTAGGCCGGTTTGAAAAATCTTTAAATTCCACGAAAACATTTTTTTAATACTAAAGTTTGTATCAACTGAAAGGTTTCGCGGCCAAACTTTAAAATTACTTTTCACACCTCAGCGTTAAACTGGCCGCAGGTGTTTTAGTGGACGCCCGCAAACGGCGAGACAAATAACATGTGGTCCGTGTCACGGTGACACGTGTTGTCTGGCGGCGTTCAAGGTCGCAGACGATAGACGGCAGTGGTCAGATTTTTTAGTCGCTGTAAATCGTACTAGAAGACACAATGTACGGTCGAACCCTCAGCGGTAACATGAAAGAAAAAATGACATTCAAAGCTCTGCTAAGCCGATTGGTTTAGGTTTGGTTAGTGTTAAAGAAGGGACAGAGATAGAGTCATGATATTGTGTTAGGGTTAAAATAAGACTAAAGAGCAATATATTTGGGGTGAAGTTCGACAACGATTCAATGTTAATTAGAGGTGGTCGGTTTGGTGCTTTGTGGAAGTAGCACATGACGTCACAAATGTGTCCGCCTGACGTCACACATTTTGTCCACATGACGTCACACTGTCCACCTGACATCACATTGTTTGTCCACACGACGTCACACGTTTTGTCCACACCAGAGGCGTAGCGACCCTTCCCGGCGCCCGGGGACAAACTTTCGATTTGCACCCCCCCCCCTCGAAATTTTCATTTGCACCCCCCTCAAACTTTCGATTTGCGCCCCCCCCCCCTCCCTAAGGTCGGCGCCCGGGGACATATGTCCCCCACCCCTCGCTACGCCACTGCGTCACAAGTATGTTCACCGGACGTCACACCTGTTTGTTTCTCCCTCCACAGGCCGGACGTAACTTCCACCCCAAGGAGATCAACCGTGTGCGTGGCATGCTGGGAGTCAACATGAAGGAGAACAGTGCCTACAACAGGTATGTCGCTCTGTCTGTCTGTTTGTTTGCGTGTCTGTCTGTCTGCTTGCCTGCATGCCTGCCTGCCTGGCCGTACGTTCGTCCGCCCTTCCGTCTGTCCGTCTGCTTGCCTGTTTGTCCGTCTGTCCGTCTGCTGGTCACAGGAAAAAACAACAGAAAAAAGTTAGTTTTTGCTGGGGAAAAAGTCACAGAAAAATGTCACAAAGGAAAAATTGTATTGAAAAAAGTCACAGATATAAAGACTATGTTTGCCTGCCTGTCTGAATGTCTATCTTCAATACTGTATGTCTGCATTAATATGACACTCCACTCCACCAACAATGTGTTGGCTAGACTTGCTAACCCGAAAGTCTCAAGTTCAGGGTCAGGGTTCGTCAGTACAAAGTCCCTGAATCCTCCCAGCTCTGATGGGTACCTAACTAACGTTAGGGAATCACTTTACAAAAATAAACCGGGAGTGATCTCCCCTAAACTTTCTCGAATATTCTTATATAAAACAACAGGGGATGGGAACTCGGGCTATAGACATGATTTTTAATCCATTTTAAATACTTAAAGTTTTAAAAATAGAATAAAATTTCGTAGACAAAAGAATTGCACACCAAGTGAACGCCAAATAAATAAGAAAAAAGTGCATAATAGTGCGCAATATTATTAGTACTTTAAAATTTTACATTAGTTTTTTGAGAAATCGGAAGTAGCGTAAATTACTACTTCCGGTCAACGGAAATTACTCAAAATTTAACAGAAGGTAGAGAATTAGATCTTTTACTTACATGTGACATTTCATTTAACTATCTGAAATAGTACTCAAGTTATAGGCTTTTGAAAAATTCAAAGTAGGAAAAGTACCACTTCCGGTTATCGGAAATCGCTTAAAAGTTGATACGGATCTACGATTTTGATAAAATACTTATATATGAAATTTCATCAACCTAGCTGTAACGGTACTCAAGTTATCGTGTTTACACACGGACACACACACACACACACACAGACACACAGACATACGGACAAGATTGCAAAATTATGTTTTTCCGTATCAGTGAGGTGTAAAACGTCGAGATTTGTAAAAATCTCGATTTTTTATTTTTGCACGATTACAAGACTTTCTCTATACTTCGTATATACGAGAAAGTTAAAAAAAAAAAGGTTTTTGTTCATACAAGTAAGGAAAACTTAACTCCTAAGCTATTTCGGGAAACTGATCCAACCTAACTGTACTGTACTGTACAACTAGTGTTTACGACGATAATCCAGATAGAGACGTAGCGACCTGTTCCCCTCATCTTGGTAGAACTATAATTTAATAGGGGACAATAAAATGTATAACTGAATAATTAGAATCCTAACGAAATAATTTTAAATAACGTGTAGATTAAGTAATTAACAACTTTTATTTTAAAACATTTCTGGGCAAGCTCTGGAAGTGCCGTTCATTCAACAAGTTGCAAGTCCATGGATTTAATGATTGACAATAAAAAAAAAAAAACAATTAGCCTTGACCAAAAAACCGAAAGTAGAACTAGAAACTATTTAAAAACAAAACTGTTTACGCGAAATTTTAATTGTGTTTTTTAGGGAAAAAAAATGTTTACGAGAATTAGTCCACCTGTCATTAATTATGATAGTCCTTTTTTTTTTGCCGCGACCTAAATGTTTGATAAACAATTCCGCGAAACTAGAGCACATACTATAACTAGTACAGGCGGTTGATCTAAAGAGAACGAAGGGGGGGGGGGGGGGGGAGGGGTAGACATTGTGACTAGGTGTGGACTATGCCTAAGAGGTCCTGGAAATTTTAAAAGCCCCCCCCCTCCCCCCTTCAACCCCAGATTCAAATTTTTCATCGTGCATTTTTTTTCTCACAATCAAGGCCTGCATTTTGCTCCTTAGTGTGAAGAAATGGTGAATTTGTAAAATACAATTAATTTTTTTAATACACTGCCGTTCCAGAGGGGAGGGGGGGAGCTACCAATATATTTTCCCGGGGTCCTATCCTGATTTTTTCCCCGGTAGATCGGCAGGTCTGTCTACCCCTGGTTGTGACCCCCACCCCTACTCTCCCCTCACCGTCCTCTGGACTTGCACCGTGAACTTACTCTTGTTTTTTTTTTAAATCAGATGTTTGATTATTTAATTTAAGGCGATCTTCCACAAATGGCAATGCTTATAAGGGTAGGTAATACTTATGTCAGGGTCGGCAACCTTTTGAAGCGGAAGAGCCAAAAGTTAAAATTTTCAAAATTTCCATGATTTTAAAGAGCCACTAACATTTTTTTTATTTCAAATATTTTATTTATTATTAAGATTATTAGTATTTGTTCAAGGAGCTGGAGAGCCGCATCTTGATATCAAAGGAGCCGCATGCGGCTCGCGAGCCGCAGGTTGCCAACCCCTGACTTATGTAAAGATATATAACTATTTGTGTGGGGGGGGGGGGGGGGGTTGATAGAATGTGATTTTAAAAAAAAAAAAGCAAACTTATCAGGTGCACAATGTTAATTTACGTAAACATTTTCTTTTCTAGAAGAAGTGGGCGGAACTTTTCGACGCTGTTTATGGGATGAGGGGGGTCGATAATTTTATAATGACATGGAATGATGTCCACATAGCGGTAATGGAGATGTGTCAAATTGCGTGTTGTTATGTATGGAAGACCTATCTACTAATTATATAAAAAACGAATCGCACAACCCAGATGGTTTCTTGTCGTAAACAATAGAGTAGCCTCCCCTCTACACAATTTTGCAAGAAACTATGACTCCAGATATAGATAGCTTATCTAAAAAAATGTAGTACTTATTAAATCTTCGGGCTAATTTTTGAAGGTAGATATATTTTCGACCCAAATTAGCTGACTGGCATGTTGGTATCTATTCTCAAGTGTATGAATATCGGTCAATGTTAATCTTACAATACTTAGTTTTCGAGATTATTTTACAGTGCTTTAGCTTTGAAGGTCATTTAACCTGGACTTTGATCTTAACGGTTAAGTGTCTACAGAGGCGAAGCTAGGAGGAGGGGTAGGGGTTTGGGCGACCGCCCTGGTCGCCAACCGTAAGTTGGGGGGGGGGGGGGGGGCGACAAATCGGTAAAAAAATAGCTTATTCTGAGCTGTATTACTGAATTTTACTCAGTCGAAGAAAATAAACTGCTACTTGGTTTTACGGACTTATTTAACTGTTTTACATATTAATTGTGGGGGGCGGTCAACATTTGTCGAGGGGGGGGCGGACACTAGTAAAAGTGTAAGTTTACTATATAAAATCTATCTCGTTCGGGGGGGGGGGGCGGTAGACTTTCTTCGAAAACGATACCTGGAAGAAACTCTGCATATGCCTAGGTACTCTACTTCCCCGCCTTTACTTTCGCTAACTTGAGTTAAGTACCCATCAGAGCTGACTTGAACCCGGAATTCGAACTAAAGACTTATGGATTAGCAGTCCAGTTATCTATCGCAAGGCCACTCCGTCCCATTTACTTCAGTCGATCCAACGCTT